GGTGGAGAAAAATGGTGGATCGAAGCATCTCTAATAATTTAGACTGGGACATTCCTCAGAGCTCAGAAATATCCACAATATTTTAACCCTACACAACCAACTCTGTTGTTTTATGAACGCATGTAATGTGATGGACGCCACGTTATCAGCCAACACCAGTGGCAGACCTCACTTCTGAATTCTTCGTGCAAAGCCTGAAACCAGAAGAGTGGAGACTAGTGTTAGCATCATATTAATGTCCATAGTTATTGGAATTAAATAATCAAGATTATCATACATTATCCACATGTTTTAAGCCATTTTGTGAGCATACTGAAGTACAGAAACACCTTTTCACCAGTGTGCCAGAGTGGAGCCCTGAGGATCTCATTCAGCACTGCTGCTGACTCAGGCTGGTCTTTACTGCTCGTTCAGCTTCTGCAACAGCAGGAGGACGAAAGGCTGGACACATGATTAATGGACCCAACAGTAAAAGTTTTTTTCTCTTCCATTTCACTCCGTCCTCTGATTGCTGCTCTCTTTATTCATGAGAGAGTCTTCACAAAGTATGTGTGAGTGGCGGTTTAAACTGAACTCCAATTGTAACAATAGGTTGGCGTGTCAATCAAAAACTGCCCCGTAAGCTTCCTGTGTTTCACTCCTCAAACTGGACCCGTGTGTGTGTGTGTGTGTGTGTGTGTGTGTGTGTGTGTGTGTGTGTGTGTGTGTGTGTGTGTGTGTGTGTGTGTCTGCATTAAATCCAGGTGTGTCAGAGTCAGACCCCCTGTGTATTACCGAGACGTCGTTAATGTTATTACTTACACCTGTGCTACTTGCACCTGCCGTTTATTACAATATACATCGATTACAGTTATCAGTATTTCTCCAGTAATCAGAGTTTTATCTGGAAACAAATAGATTGAGTCTACTTTTGCCACTTCTGTCGTTCGGGGTGTTTTGATGCAACTTATGTTTCAGATTTATGTCGTAAACTGTTTTATTTCAGCAACAATGTTTCTCTTTTGCCGAGAATGTATAACTGTCGAGCACGGAAAGTTAGCGTCAAAGGCTTGATCCAATTCTTCCTCTTTTTGATTCGATGTTTCCTCATACAGATAATAATTCTGCTGTTCATTAGAGGACATTTCTATATAAACGGTGTTCTTGTGCAGATTATTAGTGTTATAAAAGGGTTGTTTGTATCGGCATTGCAACCAGTCTTATTTACTTAGCATTTACGATTCATCTTGGTTAAGTTGGTCGAGTCTTTTAAGCGAGGCCTGTCGACGTGTCTTTTTATAAATTTAGTTTTTGTTCAGTTGATACAAATGTCTGTCAAAACAAAGCAAAATGCCACCGATTGTAAGAGCTGACAGTTATTGAGGTCTGCGGTTCCTCTGTCAGCGCGGAGGCGCTCTCCTCCCTCTTTGTTTGGGTACCTCGTCTGCTCAGTGAGGTAATCACTTGTTATTGTCTGTGTTATGCAGATGAACGCTGACATGGTGTCACTGCAGCGAGTCTGAACATCTGTGTGTGAACGTGAACATATCGGTGTGGGCGGGTCCTTTGTGGTTGTGAGGTGGCCAGTCAATCATCTTACGGCGGGCCCGAGCATCTGCATGTGTGGGCACGCTGGAAAAAACTCGCCTGGATGTCCGTCTGTGACAGGTGTTAATTATCACTTTGTAGTGTCTCTGTCAGTCTGTGGCTCACAGACAGACAGACAATGGGCTGGTAGTGTTGGGGCTGGAACTTTAGACTATTGGGGAAGTAGACGACTAGACAGAAGTTATGTGCTGCTTTTTTTGTAGACAACAAGGAAGATTTCTAGCCAAACACTGGCTATGTTTACGTGCATGCACCCAAATGCAGAGTAATCAGATTAAGACAAAGGTTTGTATTTAACAGAGTTTGATCAGATATTCTAGGTTTTGAGTAAGTATATGCTTATTATCAACTGAGACAAGGTAAATGAGTATTACAATATGTCATATGTTTTCATCATGATTCCATTGAAAGACGATGAATTATATTGAATTATCGCCCAGTCCTATAAGACTGCATGATCTACTTCCATTTAACATTAGTCTATTTAGTGACGTCACCATTAGTAGGTCTGATTAGCTGATCGACAGAAAATCTAAATGAATCATTTAAGCCATTAATCAAAGAACAAGATTAATAGTTGACAGCCATGCTAGCCTCTCTGTAGGAGTGTAGTACACGCTAGTGCTTTGAGCTACATACTTAAGTCAGCGTGCTAACATACTGATGCTTACCGTGGTCACCTGAGGCTGAGGTTGAGGTATTGCTCAAATTTAAATTTTGACCTGATGGGGGACACAAGAATCACCAAAGTTATTCCAATTCCTCCTGAAGGGGGACGCGGATGTCCGTACAAAATGTCATGACAATCCATCCAACGGTTGTTGATGGATTGTCATCCCGACATTCCCGGAGCCATGACGGTAACGTGGCTACAAAATGTTTATTGGGAGTCCGTCAGATGTGTTTGAAACAT